GCAAGAGAATTCCCAGTATCACAAAGAAAATCCACAACATTTACCAAAGTCAAAAAACTTCCACAGTATTGAAGAAGTTGTGCAGTGGAATCTGAGTGAACCAGTCTCTTGGCTTTAAAATACTCTAGATAAGGCACCATTCAGATATAGGTTTTGGGGTGAAACATCAGCCACTTTAGGCCAACAAAAATACCCCAACAACTCTCCTCACAACTGTGACTCAGGCAATTGTTGGTTCATGTGCTGCCCAGGACAAAGGAAACGTCACCTTTTTCATATGCAAAAGTAAAAAGTTTATATACCAAAAGGTCTGTGACCAGCATGTAGCACAAGTAATGAATATTGATCATCTACAAGTGGTTTATTTTTCCAGAGAGACACATCAGACTTACACAAAGGAAGAATCGCCTGTGGGTCTGACATCTTCCCAAGAATCACAGGATCATGGAATCATGGAACAGTTTGTGTGGAAGGGACCTTAAAGTTCATCTCCTTCCACCCCCTGCCATGGGCAGGGACACCTTCCATTATCCCAGGTTGCTCCAAGCCCCGTCCAACCTGGCCTTGGACACTTCCAGGGATCCAGGAGCAGCCACAGCTTCTCTGGGCAACCTGTGCCAGGGCCTCCCCACCCTCTGAGCAAAGAATTCCTTCCTAACAGGCAAGCATGACATAGTACAGCTACAAGAAAATCAAAACCTAAATACATTAGAATATGAAAGAGGTGCCAAAGCTAACAGAAAACAGTAACAAGAATTCCTCTTATTTAGCAAAGTGTTGGGTTGTTGTTTTTAATATCTAGAGAGGCTGTTTCTTAAATATCTAGAGATGGCATTTATTTTAAGGGCTTGAACAGCATTGATGTCTGTTAGGGTAACATGAAGATCTCCCTCTCCTTCAATGCAAATGGGTTGAAAATTAACTTTCAGCCAGCATTTTGCAAGCTCCTCTTGTTGCAACAAGGTTAGAAGGGAGAAAATACTCTTTATTCCAGCCTACTCCAACATTTCTACGATTTCAACAGCAGTGGAAACCAAACAGGATCAATTCTGTGCCACTGTTGCATTGTATTATGCTTCTGGTTGAGAATTCAAATCATAAAATCCCAAAACCTCAACTACTGAAACTGAGTTCAAAGCACACCTAGTACCTTCCAGAACACTCCCCACTGAAGTTTCAGCTAGAAAATGGGCTTGTTTCTCCCTGCCCAGAACAGGAGTAAGTACAGGTTTTCCCTACCTTTGAGCCCAGATCCAACTTGAACTTGGCAGAGTCCTCCTCCCTGAGGTCTGCCCGCTGCACCCCCTGGGTGTGCATGGCCCCGTAGAGCACTGAGGTGACCTTCAGCAGCTCCTTCACCGCGTAACCATCGGCCTGGTACAGCTTCTTAGTGTTCAGCTTGATGTGAGCTTTGGTAGCCTTCGGGGAGAAGAGAATGAATTCACCATTCACAGGAACAAAATCCTCCTTTACCTCTTCACCCCAAAGCTCTCTGTGGGGTCACCACCCCTGGACACGCAGAAACAAACCCTCCTCTTTGGCCACACCACTTTGCCTCGGCACGAGCCTGATACTTCCAGAAGACATTTTTCTGAAACCTGTGCCCTTCCTGCACGTCAGAACACCTGCAGAAAAACCTCAAACTATCCATTATTTCTTCCCTGCACTAAGAGAAGTGAAAAACCTGTGCACCACTTAAACTCAAATTAAGTGGAAAGTAAGAGCTGCCCAGGTCTTGTGATGATGCTGTAGAGAGGCAAATCTCACCCTTGATGAGTTGCAAGAATAAGATCAATTATCCTAATTTAACTGTCTTCTCTTCCAGCAGCACCTTCAAAATATTGTATTGCTTCTCTCAAATTTTTCCCTGCTGTGATATGGGTAATTTTATTCCCTTGTCTTCCATCTCTGAAAAGTACAGACAGACCAGTATGGAAAAAAACCATTAAAAGTTACAATCTTATTTTTTTATATTTCGAAATAATAAAGGGGAAAAAAGAGCATCTGTCACAGAAAGGACACAAGTGTTGCTCTTGAAATTCCTGACTAATTTATATTAAAAATGGTCACAAGGAGCCAACACAAATTTCAGGGAGTCTTCCTGGTGGCATAATTAAAAAAGGAAGCAAATGAAAAGTTGATCACCAGTTACGAATACAAAAATTAAGCTTAAAAATGACACATTAAGCATAAAAATGACTTACCATCTTCTTTTTGGCATGTTTTTAAGACTAAAGTTCTGGTAAAATGTTTATCCTATGGAATATCCCACAGTGGCAGAATGAATCTAACCATGAGTTAGATTATACCATGGGATTATACAGCTTTGGTGTTACAGTGTTTCTGGAAGTAATTCACACTCCCCTTGGGCTCTGACAGACCAGGACCTTCAACTTGGGGGTGAGAGACTCAAATATTACAATATTTGGCACAAGTTTTGCCCATGAGCTTCACCTTACAAGGTTCTGCACTGAGCTTCCCTGAATAATGGGGTGCAGGAAAGAATTCCTGTGAAAATAAAGAGAGAAAGGGCCACATCTCAAACCACGGATTTAGCTCCAGCTTTTCAAAGGACCTGAGGGAACAGCTGGAGCTGTGCCAGAGAGAAAAACAGAGGGTAGTTGGGCACTGGACAGGCTCCCCAGGGCAGGGGTCACGGCCCCAAGGCTGCCAGAGCTCAAGGTTCCAACTCAAGATCTTCTGTGATTCTAAGATTCCTGAAAATTGAAGTCCAAACTTCCAGAACAGGTTACTGATGTTGTACCCCCTCAGCTGGGGGAATATGAGACTCACAGTACAAAGATACCTAATTGCTTTTGGAATTTTTGATCAGAATGACCTCAAATGAGCCAACACACAAAGTGGAAAGCCAGGTGTGTTCAACTGCCTTCCCTTTCAGTAGGAGAAATCTAAAAAACTGATGGTAGAAACAACAGGTATTAAATTTTAAGAGAAATGTGCCATTAAATTGACATACTCTATTAAACATCCCCCATGCAAACATAACTGATGCCCTAAATCATAAAGGACGTTGTTAAAGGCAGAAATTCTGATTTCAGCTCCACTCGAAGTTCAGCTCTCCCAAGACAGAAAAATCAATGTCTAGTAAGAGGAAAAAAAAAAAGTGGTTTTTCACTCAAACACTACTTAAAAATAAAAAGAGAAAAAAAAAAAAGAGAAAAAAATACATGGCCAAGTATGTATATTTTTCAGACTGGCACAGTGGCACTGCTTAGTCAAGAAGGCAACTTTGGAAAGCTCGAAACACTCACCTATTTTATAACAACTCTAGTTTGAAAGAATAATGAAAATTCACCTCTACTTGTTCTGATGATCAGATAATAATCTGCAATAGAAAATGTAAACATAGAGCAAGAATGGCATCAACAGCCAGAATTTCTCTTAACTTTACAAGCTGTTTTATTATTATCAGAGAGCCAAATTCTGACTGTGATGCCTGACTCTTGCAAAAAAAATTTGGTACCTTGGTTTGCTAAGTATGTTTTCATGAATGTATCTCCATGAGATAAACTCATCAGTGGCTTTTTGTTGCACTCTACTTAGAATTTGGATCCAAGGGGGCTTGAGCAGGAGCCAAGTACTGAGCCCTGCTAACTAAAGCTGGGGAAATGATTAAAAACCCACCTAAGACAACCCTGCAGACACTTCAGGAACTTTTGGGTCTGGAAAGGAGACATTTGGTAAGTTCCCACAGTGAACACAGAGCAATACCTAATTTGTGTGGAAAATTAACACCTCTTTGGGTCTTGTTCAGCAAAGGAGAGCAAAGCCCCAGTTGTATTTCACGATGATGAATCTACCCTGATATTCTCTTCTCAGGCAAATCTGTCTCCGTCAAATCTCACATCTGCCTCCAGATGCATAAAGCTATTAACTCCTGGGGAAGATAACTCTGAATTCCATGGGCAGTGAATTATGAAAGAAATGATTAAAAGCTTTTCTCAACCTGAAAATGCTGAAAATCTACAATAACGCCCACATTAACTTGTAAAATTAACTGAGACTGAGTGCAGCATGATTAAAGAAATTTCCATTAGTTTCATTTTCTGAACCATAGTATGTAATTCTCCAAAACCCTTGGGATTTCTTGCATTAAATCAGCTATTAAAAGGCAAATGTATGCATGACATTATTTCTGAGTCCATACTTGTCCCTTGTTAAATGTCCTTGACTTGAATTTTCCTATAATTCCAAACAAAATAGATCTGATGGTGCTCCAGGCCTCAAAAAGGGCATTGTGATATATAAAGGAAAGTACCACGCTCTGAATATAACAAAATTAAGAGTTAAGAGAATTTATGGTGCATGCTCTTCACAAATGAGAAGGGAAATATGGTTACAATGTAATCTTACTATATTTGAAAAAAATCTAAGCATTACAATGAATCTCTGGTATTGGTATAAAGACTTCCATTGCTTCCAGAGCCATCAGTAAGTTCTTTTTACATAATTAAGAATGTTATCTAAGTGTGTGATAACAGCAAAGGCTCATGCTGCACCAAAATAACATGAATTATATGAAGAACAATGTTATTTTACTCCATGAGACTAAAAAATTTGATGGCCCAACTCAAGTATACTCATGCATAAAATGTTTGAGCTGAGAAAAACATGTGCACTGATCCATGAGAAGGCTCATAGGACATATACCAACATATGATTCTATATCACAATGAAGGTATCAGAGGTTATGACTATTCAGGCACAAAAAAGGATCAGGCACCCAAAGTTAGCAAAAAATATGATGGGATCTCTTCTAAAACAATTTAAATGGTTTTGAAACATTTCCTGTCTTCTGCTACCTTTTTATAAATAGCAAGAGAGAAGGATGTTTTTCTAGCTTTGCAGGGAAACTGTAAGGGGTTAAGAGAGAAAGCACTAAAGCTGACATGGAACCAGGATTTCAGATATTCATATTTTTAGGATTTCAGGCTGTTCCTGAGCAGACTTACCATGAACTGAGCCACGGCCTTAATGAAGAAAACCCGGTCTTGCTCTGTCTCCACATCAGCAGGAATATCAGCCTGAGGTTCATACCTACAGAAAGAAGGGGGGGTAGATTCTGACAAGAAATACACGTGCAATATTAATGAGACTGGTCCATTTGTGAGGCAAAAATCAAACCAAACAAGCACGGACAAGACTGGCAAATAAATGTTTAGTTCCTGCTGCAGAATGGGGACCCAGGGATGCACACGGTGGGTGTGTGTACAAACTGCAAAACCTGACACACTACCCAAGTTCATACTCAGACATCATTTCAAACACGTTACTTCTGCAAACAAAACTTGCAAAAAAAGCAAACTGAAAGACTGTAAAATGCTTTAGAAAGACCACGAGTGAAATGCAGAAACTTCCAGAAGTTGCCAGCCTAAAGGAACAAGGGAGGAATAAAAGCAAATTCAGAATTTGGACCCTCAGGGTAACATCAGCATTTTAAGGACTATTTAGGTAGCTTAATGAGAGTAATTTTGAATGGTTCTAAATATTTCCCTATTTTGTTACAACAGTATTCAGCGAATTTCAAACAGCTTGCTAATTAAACTTAATGGATACTAATGAGTAGGATGAACCCAGGCCAAAAAATAGCAATCAGGTAAAGGGTTGTGTCACTGTTGTGTTTTCAATTGCAATATTCTACCTTTTGAGGAGCTTAAAAAAAATAGTGGGGGAGAGAAAATAATGTATAATTTGATTAACATGTCAAGATTCAGAAATATTTAGCTGAAGTCTGTCAATGGGTTAAGTGGGTGTAAAACTACAAGTGGACAGGAGCAGATTAGGATGGAATCATTTTATTTCTTTTAAACATGTTGTGGATGTGGGATGATACCAGGCTGAACCAATAGCTGTAGCAAAAAGGCAAGAACTGGCTGTATTTGGGGAAGTTCTCACTACAGATTATCCTGTTTGGGTACATGGGCAGGATGGTGATGGAGTCTGAAGAACACATGAGAGAGACACAGATACTTTTGAATCAGTGCTCCCACTTTCTGGGTGAAACCAGCATTGAGTTATCGGATTTTCTACTCCAGGTTCTACAGTTAAACCAAAAACCTGCTAACTATCACACTTCTACCTGCTATTTAGAAAATAAAGCTAAAAGAACGACTAAATATCATTATATTTTACACCGAACCATCAGCTCCAAGGCCACCCTCCACATCCCAGCATCAGCCCCAGCATCTGTTGGCCTCACCACCAACCTTTTCACCAGCCACAGGAGCACTTCTGACACAAGCATGAAGTTTGGGGTGTGGAAATTCTCCATGGATATGAGTCGAGGATACCCCAGTGCCCTCATCATCTCAGTAAAATCTGAAAAACAAGCAAGGGATTCCTTCTTAAATATCAGAGAGGGGCTTTGCCAGGAGCTCCATCTCCCACAGCGTGCTGCTCAGTTACCGTGAGATCTGCCCTGTGAAAAGCACTGCTCAAAAAATAAACCTGAATAACCAGAATAAATACCGTGATAAATAAATAATTGTGATTCGTGAAACAAATGAGTGATTATATCAAAATAAAATGGATTGTAAAACTTAATTACACCCCCGTAAAGAAATAAAACAGACCCTTACAAGGTCAAGAGGCCTAAAACCTCCTTACTATCCTAAGAATAAAATATAGTAGAACTTTAAATCTTTAGGTGCCTGTTCGTCCAAGAATGCATGAATTATGACCAGTTGTAGAGATAACCCTTTAGCTTTAGCTGTAAGAAAACCCATATATTAAATACTTAGCAAAAAACTGTAGAATGTATATGTATTTGATATAATTAATATGCATGAAGTAGCTAAGATAAATACTAAATGTACCCCGTAGTAGGGGTGTGCAGATTTGGGAAACTGGTCCCCATTTCTGTCACCCAGCCGGCTGCTTGCTTTTACCATATAATAAACTATTATTCAAAAACTTACAGAAACTTGAGACTTTGTTTATCACAAATAATATAATTTCAACAGAAAACACGCCTGAGTGAAAAGGTGAGTTTTTAACGAGATGCACCGGGCTGAAACGACGCTGAACTGCTTGTCTTTACACTTTAAGCGACGGGCTAGGGGGCTCCCCCAGTGCAGGGCTGTGCTTCCCCCAGTGCAGGGCTGTGCTTCCCCCATCCCCCAGCGGGGACCCTCCCAGGGAAGGCTCAGCCCTCCCCCCTTCCCCCCCGGGGCACCGCGACCCTCCCGCCCGCCGGCAGCTCCGTGTGCGGCCCGGAGGAGCCGCGGGGCCCGCTCGGGCCGTGGTGGGGGTGCCCAGCCCAGCCCAGCCCAGCCCAGCCCAGCCCGGCCCCTCGGCCGCTCTCACTGCGGAGGTCGCGGAACGACATCGCCGGGCCGGGACTCGCGGCCAACGCGGCTCCGGGGCAACGCGGCTACGGCGGCGCGGCGGGGCCAAACCCCGCGGGAAGCGAAAGCGCGGCGGGTCGGCCCCGGCATCACGGGATGCCAGAATCGTTCCGGTGGAAAAGACCTGTCTGCCCTCTGACATCGCCGATCCCAACCGACGGCCCGTCACCGGCATGTCAAGCAGACCGTGCCACCAAGTGCCGTGTCCGGTCTTTCCCTTAAACGCCTCCGGAGACGCTGCCTCCACCACCTCCCTGGGCAGCGCATTCCCATATCTAATCACCCTTTCCACGAAGAAATTCTTCCTGATGTCCAACCTAAACCTCCCCAGGCACAACTTGAGGCCGTTCCCTCTCCTCCTGTCTCTTGTTCCATGGGAGCAGAGCCCGACTTCCCCCCAGCTCCTCCCTCCTTTCAGGGGGTTGCAGAGCCAGAAGGTCCCCCCTGAGCCTCCTTTTCTCCAGGCTGAGCCCCCCCAGCTCCCTCAGCTGCTCCTGCTGCTCCAGCCCCTTCCCCAGCTCCGTTCCCTTCCCTGCACACGCTCCAGCCCCTCAATATCTCGGCCCTGTTGGAGTCAGTGCACCTGCCTTCCACATGCTCTGCAGAGGAGGGCAAGGATCTCTCCAAGGGCAGGAGCCCGGCATTTGTGCGGCAAAAATCAAACAAAACAAGCGTGTATGAGAGTGGAAAATAAACCTCTAACTCCTCCTGCAGACTGGAGCATCCAGAGTCTGGAATGCATGCCCTGGGTTTGTTTACAAACTGTAAAAAGTGTGAGACCTGAGACACTTCTCTGGCTCAAATTGCTTCTGTGGAGTCCTGAAAACACCTCTTCAGCCAGTTTGGATAAGGAGCAAAATTTAGCTGGCTCAGTCAAGGCTGTGAAATACTGATTTTCAGAAGGAGATGAAAAAACAGCTGCAGGAAGGTCAACTAACAGCATCCAAGATCCTCATGGGTGTCTTTCCCATTGTCACATACACACACCATAAACACAAACCACAAAATTCCTCACCCTGTTACAATGTTCAATATATATTCTCTCAGGTTGCTACGGTCAGGCCTCCGTTTCTCTCCCAGGTTTCCTCCTGTCACGAGCAGTGGGGCAGGACATGGCTTTGCTCACACCAGCACTCAAGCTGAGTGCTGCTCTCCCTCATCCTTAACTCAGAACTCTTCAAGTTCTTTAGAGTTAAAGTCAGTTAAAATAGACACATATATTTTTATAGGAAGAACTGTGAATACCAATATTGGAAATATTTTATTGACTACTTCTTCAAGTCATCTTTTGTTCTGTTACTGTCTATATTGTGCCAGGAGGGGATAGCCAGGTGGGGGTTGGCCTCTTATCCCAGATAACCAGAGAAAGGGCAAGAGCACATAGTCTTAAGCTGTGCCAGGGGAGGTTTAGGTTGGGCATTAGGAGAAATTTCTTCCCAGAAAGGGTGATTAGATATTGGAATAGGATGCCCAGGGGGGTGGTGGAGTCACCCAGAAGGTGCTTGCACGACCCTGGCCCACCAGGGAAGGGGCAGGAGCATCCCTGGGGTTCTCCAAGAGACAACAGAAGCACTGCTTTTGCTGGTGGGCAGAAATACCCACAGAAAACAATATCCCAAGGCCAACCAACATGGCTTTCTGTGACCTCTCAGCTCTTACCCACAACTGATGCCAACTGATCCTGTCAGCAGCTCCATAACAAACTTCTTCAAGGCTCTCAGCGTCCCAGCTTTGCCCCTACAGACATAACCCAGGGCAGTTTTCATGTTGGTGCTCCAAATAAGAGCAGCTTGACAGCTTCTGTGCTGGCAGTGGTGATGACAGACGGACAGAGGAACAGGAGCTGTGACCATGAGGCTCTGCAGGAACACTGGATGAAGCACCTGCAGCTCTTCCTGACAGGGTCACCTCAGGGTGGAAGAAGTTGAAAATAATCTCGGTGTCAGGCTGATCTGTGGGTGTCTCAGGACATTTTCAGAGCAATCCACAGTTTTTCAGTTCTAACCGCCTGTAGTTATGAGACACACAGACATGGACTCTGTACTGAGCAGTGCTCATCTACCTGACTGAAACAGTAATCAAAAGCAAGGAAACAGCAATAAATCGTGGAAGAATCAATATTGAAATGAAGTAGTTACATTAGAAAATAGGAGATGTGATTAGAGATTGGGTTTCTTATGCTGGAAAGCCATGAGATTGCAAACCTTGAATAATTCACTACTTTAAGAGTGTATCAGACCTCCAAAAACTTGTTCAGGGGCATCAAAGAAGGAAACGTTCCCCTGCTCTGCTGCTGGGTTATGTTGACCAGCAGGTGGGATGAAATATGTGGGGAAAAGCCAAAGCTGTAAAAGAAATGAAATAAATTGAAAAGCTGAGGTAAACACTACACTGGCTCTTTATAATATAGAAATATTAATTAGGTTTATAATGTTAGGTGGCACAAATGTGGAAGTGTGTTGGATGTAGCTTTGAACTAAACAGGGACCCAGAGAAGAGCAAACTGCATCCATATAAACCAAGGTAGGAGCTCAGACCACACCCATGAAAAATAAACCCCTCTCCCTGCCCCCTTCCCATCTCTAGCAACCCACACCTCTGCTTATTCCCTAGACACATGAACTACCCTCCACGGAAAAAGCTCCCCATTCCTCATCCCACACTTGAGAGATGGGTTTTTTTGCCCTGTTTTATCGCTGCAAAAGTGGAAATTTTGCTGGAAAGGAAAGAAAACTGGAAGTTTTGGTGCAAGTTTCTGTGGCAGTGGGTGAGCCATCAGCTGACACTGCAGGCTTTGAGTGCAGGTGGTCATATCTTCCCTGCACATCAGCAGTGCCTTGTCTCCATCCAAACCTTGAATTTAATTTAGATGAAATTTCTCTTCTTTAGTGCTGTAGGAAGCCACAGCTGCTGCAGGGGTCCTGGCAGAGGTGTAGGAAGAACCCAGCTGGGGATGGTAACACCATCCAAGGGTGTGCAGACATCCAGCAGCACTGACAGGCTGGTTTCTAGCAGAAGGTGATGACCCCACTTTGCAGCCTGAGCATTCACAGCCCTGTGTTTGCTCTGAAACACAGCTGGGTATGACAGAATCAACAGCTGGTGTTTTCTAGAATCACAGAATTATTAAGGTTGGAAAAGCCCTCAAAGATCAAGTCCCACTGTTCCCCCAAGGCCACCACTAAACTATGCCCCCAGGTGCCACATCCTTTTAAATCCCTCCAGGGATGGAGATTCCACCCCTGCCCTGGGCAGCCTATTCCAATCCTGACTACCCTTTCTATGCATAAATTTTCCCTAATATCCAACTTAAAAACCTCATCTGGTACAATCTGAGGCCATTTTCTCTCATCCTGTTGCTTGTTACCTGGTAGAAGAGACCAACCCCATCTGGCTCCACTCTCCTGTCAGAGAGTTGTAGTTTAGCACCTCATGGAAAATAATACCCTCTGCCTGTTTCCTGCTGTACATGTGGATTTGGGGGCTCCCTGCATCACTTTAGGGCTAACAATCCCTCTGCATGTTGCAAGCGGTGCCAGGCAAACCCTTCCACGTGCAGGCTGTTGGCATCATCCTATTTATGGCCTCCACTCTGGTTTCAGGACCCTGGTTTCGGGACCCTTTTAGTCCCTCTGGCTCCCATCCACCCCCAAATACACCACTGAAGTCACACTTTGGTTTGTGAGCATCCATTAATCAAAGGTTTCACTGAGAAACCATTGACCTGGGCAGCTGAACATCACTGACATGACATAGGGTCCCTTTTGGCTGCTGCAAGGGTGGTTAGCACAAAGTGCTGGGAGAGCTGGGGGGGTTCACCTGGAGAAGAGAAGGCTCCAGGGAGACCTGAGAGCCCCTTCCAGGGCCTAAAGGGGCTCTAAGAGAGCTGGAAAGGGACTTTGGACAAGGGCCTGGAGGGACAGGACAAGGGGAAATGGTTTCCCACTGCCAGAGGGCAGGGATAGATGGGATATTGGGAAGAGATTCTTGGCTGTGAGGGTGGGGAGGCCCTGGCACAGGTTGGCCAGAGAAGCTGTGGCTGCCTCATCTCTGGAAGTGTCCAAGGCCAGGTTGGATGGGGCTTGGAACAATCCTTCTGCAAAATGGACTGCAAAGCAAAGAAAAAGAGCTTCAGGATTTTCCTGCTCTTTTTCTGATGTTGTCTTACCTGGTTATTCTCACACTTCAAATTCCATCCTCAATCCCAGGAAAGGCAGGGCTGTAGCTCTTGACTGGGCTGGGACAAAATGTGCTGTTGAAAATATGATCAAGTGAGAAAGCAAGTAATTTTTAACCTGATTTCTCTAATTTTTTTAAAGTAGGAATAAAAAAAATTTAGTTGAACAGGCTTTCTTCAGAATCTTCAGGCACAAAAATCAGAAAACACTCATCTGTGCCCTCCCTGTTGGGGAAAAAAAAAAAGGGTTCTAAGTCCTCAGGCTTCTTTTGCATCCCAGAAAAACCTTCATGTGAATCTTCTGTACACTTCAATATATTCCAGGTCACCTTTTACATACTGTGAAAAAAATAAGAGTGGTCACGATGGTAGAGAAAATATGACCTGTTTCTGCTGGGTTGTTTCCCAGGCTGCCTGTTAGAAGAGATATCAGCTTTACAAATAGCTTGAGAGATTGGGCAGGGAATCTCACAGAGCCATTTGCTCAGAGAGGGACTGATGCAAAAAAAGGGCAGGGTAGGAAATTGTGGGAAACCAAATGATGAGGTTTTTATTTGGCTGGGACATGAAGTTGTCATACATCTTTTTGCATCCCTGTCTGGCTTTTACTTGCAAGGTGGGCACCAATTTTTGCTCTTCCAATCTGAGCCTCCCCTATTTCCCGTCTGGGACGGATTAATTTTCACCAAAAATCTATTTTCATTCCTGGCCTGCACCATTTGCTTCCTCATCCACAGGACCTGAGGTTCTGTTTGCTGCTGAAGGGCTGGTTCAGCTTAGAGATTCCTTGGTCTTTGTGGAGTT